ACACACACACACACACACACACACACACACACACACACACACACACACACACACACACACACACACACACACAAACAAACAAACTTTTGTAACACTTCAACCTTTGTTTAGGCCATTCTTAGCATGGGTAATAATAAAATGTGCTAACAGTCATTTCCAAACACCACCCCCTCCCTCTGATGTCGTCTTGCTTGGCATTGCCACCTGGCAGCAGGCCTGGCACCGTCGTCTGGAGCTGTCTGCCAGCAGACGCAAGGTCACCGAGACGCCCTTCGGTGCTACCAGGGGGTCCACCTTCTGTACATGTGTGTGTGTGTGCGTGTGCGTGCGACACACAGTGATTATTTAAGTGGAGTTAACCGAGTGTGCTTTTGCTCTTCTTATTCATATCACTTCGTGTTGTCACCTTGCATGTGCATAATTTTGGCAGAAGCGAGTAGTTATGCACGAGCTGACGAGTGTGTGCCTTCCAGTGTCAGAGTCAGTGGCACGGAGGGTCCCTGCTGGGCCCAGATGGCCCGGCTGCCCCCCCGGCACCAGCCCACTTTGGCCACTCTCGCTAGCTAAAGTCACTTGTGTGACCACAGCAATCTGCACACTCTGCACAAAATCACCACTGAGGAAAAAAAAAAAAACAAGTAGTGCAACAAAGTAGAGTGAAAGTCTATAAATCYACGGGAACATTTCCAACCAGGAGCTCATTCACAAATCCATTTTGTTCCTCCTGTGCAGTACCATAAATTAATCACTAGATGTCAGTCTAACTCCACTTGATCTCCCTCCACTGCACGCTGTGTGCCTCAGCATGCAGCTGTGTGTGAAGGAGGGCCGCTGTGATCCTTCTACCCATGATTAATGGCCCCATTCAAAGGTAAGGAGCTCAGAGGATAACTTCTTTTACTGTAAGCCACAGGGCTGTGGCATGGGGAGTGCTCCGTGTGCTCGCTGTAGCAGAAAGATGAGGTAAATAGCGCTGGGAAGACAGAAGGCRCAGGGAGGATGCAACAGAGGGCTGGATGCATGTGTTTGAACAGGTGTGTGGCTGTAGCGAGGAGAGATGCTCTGCACTTTCGGTCTGTATTTGTCTGCCATTGATTTTCCCATTGACTTAGCATTTATCAGTATTTACCACAACAAATGTGTCCCCCTGTACACACACTCTGACCGTGTGTACGCAGCGAGTGAAGTGGTCAGGTGGAGGTAAAAATAAAAAAACACTCCGGCTGGCCTCTGAGCTCTTTGAGGTCACACCTCCACCAATTACTTTATCAAGTCTGACTGCTCGTGTGTGTGTGTTCACAGTCTACCCCCCTCATACACCGTCGCCCCCCACAGGGTGCGATGATGGGAGCAGACRCCTGCTCTTTCACTCTCCGCAGGTGAGAACATATTCATCACAGGAGCCTGCCAAGCCTGGCGACACCCTGACTGTTGCTGCCATTCGGCAAAACGGCAGCCTTTTCCTTCAATTATACAGCGAGATGAGCGTTCCAGCTCTGAACGAAACAAAGCTCATAAACAAAAGGTTTGATCGAAACAGCCGCTGTCTCTACACTGCTAGGCCTTTAACAGTGCTGGTAAAACCCGACCCGAAACATCATGACTTTTAAAAGCATGCAGTGAAAGCACCGATTATTAGACGTGAACTGGGACGATAATAGAGCACAGCTATGGATTGAGGATAAATTAAGCATGAACATTTCCACCTGAATCACTGCCAAAGCCGAAAGATGAGCGAGTAACAAACACTGATTGCTTATGCAATGTTAGTGGTGGAACGAATGTCAACAAATGTGGAGACTTAAAGCCTTCTGGAGCTAACCCCCTTCAGGATTAGAGAGCCATGATGAGATCTTGTGTTTGGCTCTGGCAGCAACTGGAATTTTATGCTTACACTCTTTAGACATCCCGACTTCCAGGCACTTCTGTAACCGACAGTACTGGCAGCGATTGCGGGTGACTTTGTTGATGATGCAGTTTTTCTCCCGATGACATGTGTACACCATGTTCTTCTGGATGCTTCTCCGGAAGAATCCCTGCACGGCAACAAAAAGAAGAAGAAAATAGTGTTATGTGTTTGTGGGAGGAATGCTACTGTAGAGGTAAAGAAACGTGATTAAAGTCGTTTTTACATGTTGCTGTTTTGTTTTTATTATCTATTTATGCTTTTGGCTTTCCTGCAAACCCAGTCACAGCATCTTTCCTCTGCTGCTGCGTCATTTTTATCRCTTGAAAAGCTTAAAATGTAACTTTTAAAAAGAGGACATGCAGAATCGATGTATGTCACAGGGCTGCAGTTAAAAGGCACTGAACAATCAAGCTTTTAAGTCCTTAAGGGGCTTAATTTGTAACGTACTGTTCGTTCCTTTTACCTTAGAGGGAGAGACTGACATCTCACAAAAACTCACCTGAGTCTTGGTATTAATCAAGACTCAAGTGTGGTGTTTGCTCAGCTTCTTCCAGGCTAAGCTAACAGCTAAAACATTTTTCAGTCTTTGAAAAATAAATCTTTCTCAAGAAATGACCTACTGGTGTGAAATAAAACATTGTTGTACAGCAGGGCTATTCAGCTGGCGGCCTGCGGGCCAWGTACGGCACGCCAATTGGTTTATTAATCTCTTAAGGCCACATTCTCGGTCCTCTACATTAATTACTGTAAATTATTTTATTTAGACATAGACATTAAAATCTTGACTAAAAGCTTGTTAAAAAGCATTTCTATGAACACCCAAGACAGTTAAAACTACAAGCAGTTGAAGATAAATAAAAATAAAATTAGTTTTAAAAAATGGCAAGTCAAAATAATATTAATGTTAAATAGGAGGCATAATGTGTTATTTTCAGTGTGCATTGCCAATGCAATGCACATTATTGTGATTCATTTCCCATCCAAGTCATTTCAAATTTGCCATGCTTCTCCTCCTGCATACTTAGTCCTACAGCTGCCATTGTAATTTATATCTGTAAAGCTCCTGTGCCAAATGATGGCTATGCCTTTTGGTGCCTGTAAAACTTATAGTTTATGAAATATTAATGTTTAATGAATTATAATTGCAGTCAATGGAGCCTTGTATTGGTCCAATACTGCCCCTTGCTGTACTCAACTTGGTAATGCACCATAGTTTAATATTTCAACTCAGCAGTTCAGTGTTTACAGTACAGTACAGTACAGATGTTTTACTATAATATTGTCTTAATACTGCTCGATTGTTGAAATATTATGCATTTTTGTGTCAATAATTTTATTGGCAATGTGGCCTCTTTCTGCACACATACAAACCAACCCCTGGCACCATCTTCTGCCACAGCTCCATTGGTCTAACGGTCTATATCATGGACTTTCATGTGGGAGATCAGGGTTCAAAACCCAACTAAAGCAACTTTAACCACAAATCTCTTCCAACTTCATATTGTCACTCAATTACCTTAATTACAAACACCTGCTGATTTGGCAGGCACAAGCTGGTATAGAAAACACATTTGAACTTGGTCGAAGTTCCTTCTGCAAGTCCAATGCTGCAGGCAAAGCCATGCTGCAATGACATGCTACATGGCAATGCACACTTGTTTTTACATYGTAAAAACCCATGTCTAGTTATTTTTGAGATTGTTTTAATATCACTGCTTTTATTACATTGGGTTCTGTATGTTGCATTTGTGGTTAAATGCAGCAAAATAAACTAATTCAGAGGTAACAGATCTTTGTAATACTTGGTTTATTTACATTATGACTTTACTTGCTGGGTGTTCGGGCCCAGAGCTGT